ACCCTTGCTCCAGTAAGAACAGTATCAAAGATGGATTTAAGAGGGACTTGCAACACGTGCTTTTTCAAGATGGAATTACCATCATGATATAAACACTATAAAAGCCAGGTACTAGAGAGTAGTATTTAGAAAAAGTTTTGGGTTACCTGTATTTAATCTAAATGGTTCTTTCCATCTCAATCATCCAAGTTACTCAGATCTCTGGGACCTAGTGGGATCCCTGGATATAGAAACCAGGATCACTGGACCAGACACTGGAAGGTAAGGGTGTGGACAGGAAAAGCTTTCCAATATAGGCTGTCTCTGCAGCAAGGCAAAATAAATTCATAAGCATTTCACTGAAACTTTTTAGCAAAGAGAAATTCTTCTCTAGGTTAGAAAAGGAATGCCCTATATCCATTCCCAGCCTATATCATTCTCAGCAAAATTCACCAATCTTTGAGGTTCTAAGTTATATTCACTAAAAGTACTTCATGGCTCACTAAAAAGTAAAGTTACCAAATGTTACGTAAGCTGTAAAATTTATTAACTAGACCTATTCAATTCTTGTATTTGGGTAGTGATTCTTAAAAGTGCCACAGGCTTGTTACAAGGGAGACTTGGTGTCATGGATTGAATTGTGTCCCCCCAAAATATCTGTCAACTTGGCTAGGTCCTGATTCCCAGTGTTGTATGACTGTCAACCATTTTACATGATTTTCCTATATGTTGTAAATCCTATCACTGTGATGTAATGAGATGGATTAGTGGCAGTTATATTGATAAGATCTACAAGATTACATAGTGTCTTAAGCCAATCTCTTTTGAGATATAAAAGATACAGCGAGCAGAGAGACATGGGGACCCCATACCATCAAGAAAGCAGTGCCAGGAGCAGAGTGCGTCCTTTGGCCCTGAGGTCCAAAGGACCTGATGCTCCCAGACCAAGGGAAGACTGGTGACAAGGACCTTCCTCCAGAGCCGACAGAGACAGAAAGACTTCCCCTGGAGCCAGCACCCTGAATTTGGACTTCTAGCCTACTGGACTGTAAGAGAATAAACTTCTCTTTGTTAAAGCCATCCACTTGTGGTACTTTTGTTATAGCAGCACTAGATGACTAAGACACTTGGAAAGGAAGGGTCGTAGGGTGATGAGTGGAGTATTCAAATACTTAGTGCCAACAGGCTTAAGCAAAAAAAAAAAAAGAAAGAGATGCTAAAGCCAAGGTTATCAATGTCCTTCTAATGGCCAGTACAAACTCTGTTTGGTCCTTATCTATCTAGACCTCTGCAGTGTGACACTGTTCACCATTCTTTTCCAATATCAACCTCTCACTAGTCAAGTATATCTCACACTGAATAGCAGAAGTCATTTATTTAAGCACTTGGATTCAAATACTTCAAAGTGATAATCCAAAGCAACAGTTTCTTCTGCAGATATACAATGTTTTCTTCCTCTGGAATACACATATATAGATATATATACATATAGCCCCCCTCCTCTATTTAAGAAATTAAGGATAGATTCTGTGTTGGGAGATAAGAATTGTGGGTCAGTTTTCCCACCTTACTTTCCAGACTTTTTTATGGATTATTTTGATGGAAAAAATTTAAATTAGGGCAAAATGTAACTTCTTATTCTAGTCACTAGGTAAAAACAAAGAAAGGACTAAGTTTAGTTTGAAGTTTCTCACTGATGCAGGTTGAAATAATAATAATAATAGGAAACACCGAGATTATACTGAGCAATAGTCATTGTGCTAAGTACTTTATGTTACATACAACTACACTCAGATAGGTACTATTATTATCCCCATTCTACAAATGAGGAAACAGAAGCTTAGAGAATTAAAGTCACTTGCCCAACGTCATACAGTTGTATGGTGCCGGAGGTGGAAGCAGGTCTAATGTGAGAACTCGTACTCTTATCTACTATAGTTATGATGAAAATAAATACAATTTTAATTAAGATCGTCCATACTTTTTCTGAAAGGACTATGCATTAGTGAAGAAAACTATCCAGAAAACATGAAACTGTTAAATGTCCACTGTCTGGTAATATACCCCTAAATATCTACCGTAACTATTGCTGAACAAATTGCTACCTTTGCAATGGCTCCACAGTAAATAACTAAATCATTCAGTGTCCTGATGTAGCTGTGAAATTATTTTTGAAATGAATCTCTTAAAGTACTATACATTCAGCAAATCAAACATGCTGCCTTCTTAGAGTTGTGAAAAAGAAGATTATTTCTTGATCTATTCACAGTCCTATTTCTGTGCAGTTTCCTCCTCCCTCCCCCTCCTTCCTCTATGCCTTCATATCCTTTAAGATAATTCAGTTCCTCCTTCTCAAGGATACGTACATGTACACTTTACCCAATGGGACTCCAACATTAGTCTCTGTATTTACAGGACAGTACAAAGTCAAAAATGAACTCATGCAGAAAATACAGTATATCTGATGCATTTACAGAATTAATTCTAAGCGTTCTTATTTTTCTACTTCACACTAGGCATCCTGCCTTTAATAATTAGCACACAAAAAAGTCTACTTTTTTTAGTCTTTCTTCAAAAAAAAAGTTTTTCCACAACCAAATTTTTTTTAAATCAATCAGGTATTAAAAGACCAAAATAACAAACAAAAACACTGTTACTTGGTAATAAATATATCACATTTTTAGGAATGCAATTTGTTTATTCTGAATCTTTTCTGGAGCTTGTTAATATAAATGCTTCACAATTAAGTAGATCTACAAATAGTCTATATCACTTATCATCAAATGGATTAATATGTACTTTCATTCATTCACTGAACAAATATTTATTGAATGCCAATATAACTTTTTTTTTTTTAATTTCTTAACCAAAATGAGTACCAGGATAAGGGCATAGGCCCTGAAGTTATTAGAAGGACCTCAGTTTGAAACTTGGTTTCTGTACTTACTACCTGAGAAACCTAAAGTAGCCAGTTAACCTCCAGGTACTTCTTTTCCTTTATCTATTTAATAGGAAGCCTTATTACTACTCACAGGGTCTTCGTAAGTTTTAAATGATTATATAAAGCACTTAGCATAGGGTCTAGCATGTAGTTAAGTGTTCAATAAACGACAACCATGGTAACTATAACACTGAAAAAGGTACAGCTGAAGGAGTTGGCTGATAAATGTTCTTTTATCTTGCTAGAAAGATGGAAGTTTGTGAAGCTCAACATATCAATGAGATTAAAACTAAAAATCGTTGAGGTTATGTAAGAAATTTTCCACTTTTTTTTTTTTTTTTGAGGTATACTAAAGTATGTAGGATGAAACCACTAAAAAATAAAAATAGGAAAGAAAAAAAGAGCAGGGATAAAGAAAATCTTGAAAACTGCTGAATTTGGGTGATAGATGGATAGAGGTCGTATATTTGCAAATTTAAATGCGAATTTAAAAAAATACAAATTCAATCCCTAGAATGTGTTTAGCACACTCCCGCAAACTCAGTAGAGATCAAGATTTTAGTTTTGAGGTGAACTAACAATGGTACCTCCACGTTCAATAATTCAATAAAGGTTAAGTTTGCTCAGGCCATTCTACCTTCATCATAAACGTGGGCAAAAGGAATAACTACACGTATTGGAGGGAGAAGAAATGCAAGCTTTTCAGTTGCTTACTAATGTTACATTAAAACAGCAGCAATGCACACATCTTTTTTTTCCCAAGTCCTTCAAAAACATGGAACAGTTTTTAAATTATGCTTTTAAAAATGATTTCTACTTTACCTCTGAAATTACAAGGGAATCACAAGTACAGCCAAAGAAACCTAAAGGTAAGCACATCAGAGTTGCTGTCTTTAAAAATTTAAGGGACATCCTTATCAATTTGTGTAAGGGTTTTATGTGACGTTTCTAGGTTTCTTTTAGATTTTATCACTGATTAACAATATAGCAAACCAGTACAGGGAGGGAGGCAATAAATTTTCCTGAGAGACTTAAGAAGCATAACAGTAACGCTACCTAAATTAAGCTGTCTAAAACAACACAAAATTTCAAGTCACACCTTGCCTATTTCAGGGTAATCAAGTGTTTTACTAAAACAAACTAGAAGCGTTTAGCAAAGCAACAATCATTGTTCTACCCTCTATTCCTATCATAAAGCTGTTAGCTCCATCAAATATATTCCTAATTCATAGTTACGTACAAGTTTCAAGTGAAACATATTTGCCATCGACAATCATTCAAAGATAAAGCACATTATGAATATATTCAAATACAGTACCTTTCTACAGAATGTAAAGCTATCTGCAGTTTCAGCTTCGGTTTCCCCATTCAGTACCCACATGCAGGCGTCTTTTTTTCTTTTTTTCCTTTTTTAAATAAGCAATAAACTTTACTCCGGCCTAAGAGATTACACCTCTCCCTGCTTCCTGTATACTCTGGAAGTCAATAACGCCAAAGTCAAATTTTAACATTTCCCAACTGGGTTTAATGCGAGCCGTGGACGCCAAGCATCTGCCCACTGTCCTCTCGTGACTCGGGCTACTTTGACGCACCGGGATGCGGCTCACCTGACATTCCGCACCAAACATTATCAAGAAGGAAAACCAACTCCGCGAAAATAAACTGCGTCCCCAAGAAAGCGTGCGCGTGCCCCTAAGGGTTCTCTTCTGCCGCACCCCGAAACGGAGGGAACCACGCCGCCCCCAACCCTCGGCGGCGTACGTCACCTGCCACGAGAGATCGCGGCCGGGGGCCGGGACTCGGCCGCCAGGGAAGGGACAGCCCGGCCCTGGGCACCTCAGCGTCTGCCCTGGCCCCGCCGCGGGGGCAGGAACCCGGGGCCGGAGGTTTCCGCCCGGCGCGGCCAAGCCCGCCAGGGGCCTAGGTTGGTGGCCGCTCGGGGTCCCACGGACCCGTCCCCTTCGTCAGGGGCGGTCAGCTACCTCCCTGCCGGGCCCGCGGAGCCTCCCGGGCGGCGGGTGCGACGACGCCCGCACCTGCCCCGCGACCTGCGGCAGCGTCGGCGAGTGGCTCTACCCACCTGGCACCCCCGCCGCGCCTCCCGCACGTCACGGCGCGACCCCGCGCTCCTCGGCACCAGCAGCGCGGGCGCAGGAGGAGGCCGGGAGACCTTACTCGGCCGCCGCCGCCGCCGCCTGGTTCCTCGCCAGGCCGCCGACAGCGAACCTGTTGCGCAGCCTGTCACCGCGGCTCGGGCTCTGCCGGCGCCGCCTCAGCCCCACAACAACATGGCGGCCACGGCCTCCGCAGGAAGCCGAGGGGCGGGGAGGTAGGCGACGGGCCGGGCAGCTGACGGCCCGCCCGCCGCAGGGCACCAACTCCCCCACCCTCGGAAGCCCAAGATTGACCCGGGAGCCGCTCCTCACCCCTAGAGCCCCGGGACACCGGACCCCGCGGGCCTGGTCCGGGAATGCTCTGCTTTTCCCTCGGGGAAGCCTCGAAGCCCCGACCTGGCAGCCCTTCCTGGAGCTGCGACGAGCCACCTGGCTCCTCCTCCCCGAGGTGACATGTTGAGGTTGGGTGGTATGCTTCCTGCCACAGCAGACCCCAGGGTTTTGGAAGGGACCAAGCGGTGGGCCAAGCCCACAGAGGGCTCTCTCTAGGGCCTTCTCATTTACTGAAGCGTTCCTTCACTGATCTGGAAGCACGAATTCCCTGGGAATGGGAGGCTGGGGGGTGGAAGGGAGGTTTTTCTCACCCTTGTTCACAGGTCTGGTACAGGCTTCTCTGACCCTCCTCAGGGACCCTAGATACCCAAGGACAATCCATTCAGCATTCCTCACCCCGCTCCATATCACACAAAAATCGAGGAACATTCCCTGCGCTCATGCACACAGGAGAGAAACTCCTCCCATATACTCTTAACTTTAGAAGAATCTCTCTCCTCAAACTGCCTTACCTGCAAGTCTGCAGAAGCTGAACATTCTTCCCCAACCCTTAGCTGACTGACAGATTAAACTCGGAATTTCTTTTATCTCACCATCCAGCTCCTGGTCTCCTCACAAAAGACCAGACTTCAACTCAAGTCACCCCCATATATCAAGCACCTCTTCAAGGGAAAGGCTTTCTCTTGGTTAAGGGTAAGAGAAGGAATCAGTGGTTCTTATGGGCATAACAAAATGGGGATTTATGACTCAGGTTTTTTTTTTTTTTTTTTTTTGTCTTTTAGAAGCAGGATTGGGGCTGGTCCAGTATACAAAACTCATACCCCGTTGACTTCTGTTGGTACATGAGAAATCTGTGCAGATCAAACTGATCCCTTGGCTTCCTTTTGTTTCTTACCTGTTGGGGCAAGTAGCAATGCTGGCTTGAGAGATATGGCTCGAAAGCCCAGACCTGTCCAAACTGGCCATCCAATTAATGTGAGGAACTTAGCAAATATTAATGATAATAAACAGGCTTTTCCCACTCTCACACTCAGTGTTTTCCTAACTCTTTGATTAGGGACTGACCAAGACCTGACAGACAGGTCCTGAGTTTCAGTGACACAGAGAGGCCTAACTTCTTTGTATCAATCTGTGCCATCCCTTACTTGTTGGAGACCAGGTTTGTCTCCCATCTGCAAACAAGCCACCCAGGCTAGGGATAGCACTCTTAAGAACATGGGCTAACTCCCATGGCAGACAACACCAATCAATTGTGTTACTCTCTTTCAAAGCCCATTCTCGAGAATGTAAGCCTCAGAATCTTCCTCAACATAGTGCTCCAGAGAGACACTACTAGACTATTAGAGTTGGCCTGTGAGATGAAACCTATTTTTCATTCCTGATAGGCCAATACCCAATCTCCATTTTCCTCTGTCATTTGGTCAATGTTAATTGTGTTTCTGGGTTCTGGGCTTGGTGCAATTCACCCTGAGTCTCCTTTCTTGCTAAAGGAGGTGTTAAATCCTTAGTAGGACAAAAATGGAATTTATAGAAAGAGGCGTTTTATAAAGAAATAAAGAGAAAGCATTAAAAAATCTCCCTAAAGTAAAACAAACAGGCAACAACCTCTGAAAGAAATCAGATTCCTGTATAAAACTGGGAGCCTACAGTATCTTAAGCACTAAAACAACTATATCCCATGGTTCCATTCAGAACTTTGAGGTTGGTTTGTCCATCCTATCCTATGCCATCACAGCCCAAAATGGAAGACCATTACTCTCTCTACCTCCCTCCCTAGGTACTCCAGGGATGTATTGGGCAATGTTAAGAAGTTGGTGATTAGATGTCAGTAATGAGGGGAAAAAGAAATAAGGATTTTCAGGTTTCTGGGCAGGCCTGGGTGTTGGTAGTTCTATTCTTCAGGTTAAGAAATGGAATATAGGAGGAAAAGCACCGTGGCCAAAGAAACATTCTCCTTGCTCCTTTTGCAGCTTCCAGACTGTTAGGGATTGAATTGTGTCCCCCAAAAATATGTGTTGTAAATCCTAACCTCTATGCCTGTGGTTATACAGTAATCTCATTTGGGAATGGGTTGTCTTGTTATGTTAATAAAACAGCATTAGTGTGTGGTGTATCTTGAGTCAATCTCTTTGAGGTATAAAAGATTAAACAAGCAAGTGAGAGAGCAGAGATGGGGGAAGAGAGATGCCAACCCACATGAAGATTGCCCAGGAGCAGAAGCTCAGAAGAGACAAGGACCTTCCTCCAGAGCCAACAGACAGAAAAAGGCTTCCCCTAGAGCCGGCACCCTGAATTCAGACTTCTGGCCTCCTAAACTGTGAGAAAATAAATTTGTTTGTTAAAGCCACCCACCTGTGATATTTCTGTTATACCCACCTGTGATATTTCTGTTATAACAGCACTAGATAACTAAGATATGGATCATTATTCTTCCACTTGCATACAAAAGTCTCTTCTTCTTTGAGGCTACACACCAGTTACGCCATCCTCTACCTGTCCTCATCCCTATCATTTACTAACTTTCCGGGCACTCCTATATGTTCACCAAGAATTTCAGCACCTAGAAGTCCTCTCCACCCAGTGCCTTCCATCATCTTTAGTGTCTTTCAGTATTCATGATTCACATAGGTGATGCATCCACCATCCCAGTTCCTTGACTTCTCCTTCTCTGCGTAGAGCAGATCTTGGAACTGTATCTTAGTTCTTCCCCTCAGTATTTCCCAAATCCCACCCCCCACCCCTTGTTCACTTCAAGTACGAACTGATACGCTAAGTCCTACATAAGACCTGTAGACATTCCTGTCATGGCTAAAGAAGATTAGTGATTAGTATACAGTGAAAATGTTAAGAGGGTCATTTTCCCAGGTCTGCCACAAGCTAGAATAGATTCTTAGGTTTGTTCCTGGTAACCTAGCTTTTATCAAGGAAGCATCTTATCTCAATTCATTGTCCATCAATGCACTGTTCCTCCTCCCCAACAGTATATAGCCTATATTCTGTCAATCTCCCCTTCTGTTTGTTTCCAAGGATTCCATCATTTACTTCCTCCCTACCCAGTTTACCCTCAAACCCACAGTGCTGAGGAGAAGCAAGAATACATAGCACAAATAATTCTAGACTAATAGCATCCCTGAGGTTAAATACATTATCTTCTAGTTTTAAGAAATTAAATAATTTATAAAGAAATTAAGGGGAAAAGGGCGACAAAAATGGTCTTTTGATTGACCCAGATAGTTATCATTTCTCATCCTCTTCATTCTTTTCCAAGTACCCTCATTTCCATCTGGCATTATTTCCCTTCAGCCTGAAGAACTTCCTTTGGTGTTTCTTGTAGTCTGTTGGTCATGAATTTTCTTAGTTTTATTTAATTTGAAAATGTTGTTTTGCCTTCATTCTTGAATGTTATTTTCACTAGAAGCAGTATTCTGGGTTGACAGTGGATTTTTTGGTTTTTACCTCTTTCAGCATTTTGAAGAGGTTGTTCCATTCTCTTCTGGCCTCCATAGTTTCTGTTGAGAAGTTAGCTATTGATTGAATCATTGTTCCCCTGTACGTAATATGTTATTTTTCTCTTGCTGTTTTGAAGATTTGCTCCTTAACTTTGGTTTTCAATAATTTGACTGTGCTGTGCCTCAGTGTGGTGTGATGGATCATTTTGTATGGCCTTTCTCACCATGGTCTTGCAACTCCCACCAAAAGACTGGGTGGGACTATGCAAATGAGGTGCTTGTGGCCCACCAAGGGGATTGTATAGCTTGCTAATGTAAACAAAGTGTGTGATACTCTTATGGGGGAGGGAGTACCATGCAAATAAGGAGTCTGGAACCCTAATGAGGGGATTGGTTAGTTTTCGCCATCCCACTAGGCTTAAAAGAGAGTCAATTCTGGAACAGAGAGGGGGACCTACTACCACCAAGAGAGAAGAGCTAGAAGTGGAGCGCGTCCATTGGACCCAGGATACCTGCGCTGAGACCCTCCTAGACCCAGGAGACAGAGAGAGAGCTATAACACTGAAGATGGCAAGACTATAAGAAGCCGCAGCAGAGAAACGACAGCAGCAGAGGCAGCACAACCAGGAGACAGCACGGTGGGCTTCCTAGCCCATGGAGTGAGCAAGCTGGGTGCCTTCAGGCAGGAGGCTTGCTGGCAGAGTAGGGTGCCTCTGGGCACTTGGTGGAGCTAGGTTTGCAGACCCGAAGGGCTAGAGCTGAGCATCTTTGGGCCAACGCTTACTGGTGGAGTAGGGTGCCGCTGGGCACTTATCAGCAGAGCTAAAAGAGCTTTGTAACACTTGCAGGGGGGCTGAGGGCCAGGGAGAGGCATGCCTATGTGCACCGCTGAAAAGAGGCTGTCCTGATTGAATAACTATATCCTGAGTGTTTCTGAACCTGAATTGTAACCTTTTACTTACCTAATAAACCCTATAACTGAGTATGGTCTGTGAGTTCTGTGTGGCCATTGCAGCGAGTTATTGAACTCAGCAGAGAAGTAGAGAGTGCCATGGGAGGGATGGTTGGAGGGTGGAGGCCTGTCTGACCTCCACCTCACAGGAATCAGCCTTGAGCTGTTGATGCTGATAATGATTCTCTCTCCCTCTTTTGAAGTTAAAGGAGGTCAGATGCTGCCCTGCCACGCCATTTTTACACTAAGCATAGTCTTTCATGTTTAGTCTGCTTGGTGTTTATTTAGAATCTTGCATCTGCAAATTTATATCTTCCATCAAATTAAGAAAAATCTCAGCCATTGTTTCTTCAAATATTTTTTTCAGCCCCATTGTCTCTCTTCTCTCCTCCTGGTATTCCAACTACATATATATTTGACTGTTTGGTGTCATCTGGGCTCATATTA